GGGGGACGCTGGCGGCGCGAGCTGCCCGGAGCAGCTCGCCAGAGACTCCGAGGGTCCCCCCTGGTCCTGCACTGGGGTCTGGATCACCTCTCCAACCTCCAGGGATTCCCAGCAGGGCAAGGACGCTGCACACAGCAGAAACTGCTACCCTAACTTGCCCGACTTCTCCCTGGGACCCTCGGAGCAGGGGCATAGTGTAATTTGTAAAATTGCATGTACCTGATTAATGCATTTTGATACCCAAATCCATTTAGTCAACACACAGTCATTTATGTGACACAGCCTCCAACCAGACTCGGCGCTGAGCTCCTGGCACTGACGCCGTGGGTGCTGTGGGAGGGTTATGGCCACATACTGCCAGAAGCACAGTTTGACCAGCCTATTCATGCTACAATACACCTCTCCCACCATTCCACATACAGGTCTGTCTGTTGTTACCAATAGCCCATCAGGTCCTGTTTGCATTGCCCTGTATGTTGAGAAATGACCAAATAACATCCAACGTGCTCTCTTACCTGAAGAGATGCTAAGTAGAACAACTGAAAGAAAGTGCCTTGGTGTTACTGATTTCTCCCATTATAATCAGACAACATATAAATGCATTAAGGGCTTTACACCAATAAGGAGCAGCTGTTGAATGAAGTAAGACACAGCAACAGCAAGTCAAATCTATATATAAGAGACTAGGTTAACACTTTCATTAACACTTGAGTACTAGGAGGGCTAATCACAACTACTTTAGTGTGGAAACAGTTTGGAAACTAAGAAAATCCCAAGTCGAGGCAGGACCCAAATAATTTGTCTCTCCAGTAAGGCAACCACACATACAGAACATTATGTTGTTTTACATCATACCTGTAGATCGCTATGGTGGAGAAAAATTCACATCCCCTGTCTAGGAAACCTTACCTTTTAGTCCAAATGAAATTGTCACACTATCAGCTCTGCTGGAGCAAAATAAATAGCATGCTACAAACTATGCAGTGCAGTATAACCCTTCTGTGATGGATCCGATAAATCCTTCCTCAGCCACCGTTCCTCCTTGGATAGCCCTACTTTGCAGGGAGAAGGACCAAGCCACATAGTTATCAATCCTACTGGTGCATGAGATGCCAGATTCTACCTTTGCTATCCACACCACAGAGCAACAGCCAGCACAGGACTTCGGGGACATGGGTAGGAAGAGCTGTAACACAGGGGCTCCATAGACAACACAGTTCCAGCTGAGGGCACCTCAGCTTGTTCTTCAGGTATGAGAACAGAAGAGGAAGTGAGAGCTCCTCAGTGACATAAAACTTTTAACAATAAGATGGGGGGGGGGGAAATAAAGCTCATTTTCCTTTTTTTGAAGAGCTCCTGCTTCCTTTATTATGTTTTATGATACCAGAATCTAGCACTAACCCAGGAAGAGTCCTGATCACATTACAGACTTCATTAACGAATAATTTGTAATTGCAGAGATCATCGTCTAACATGACTATACTAAAGCATTTTTATCATAGTTTTGGCAAAAATAAGTAATTTGTCCCTTATTTAATATTTGTATTACAATGGCACCCAGAGATCCACTAAAGAAAAAACTCCATGAAGCTGGACGCTTTGGAAACATAGACCAGAAAATGTCCTTACTCTAGAGAGCTTACAATCTAAGAAAGCTTTGTAGATGTTTACATTAACAAGTACTTTAAAAGTTATGCTTTGCAAAGTTCAAAATTATCAGAGCAGATCCAAAACACTCAAATATTCAGATTTGGTGGCCAATTTCCCATATGTGCCACTTCACTCATCAAGTTAGTCAAATGTTGTCATCAATTTTAATATTCTCCCTAGCAGGATAGATAAGAACAGAGTCACTGAAAGGTTGGTAAACAGTGCTACAAGCCAAGATTCTCAACAAGCTCTAGTAAACTCAGGTGACACAGGCCTTAAATGCTGAACTCACAACCCTTCCAGGGAAGGTAATTTTCAGAAGTTACTAAATCTTTACTTTCAAGTCAAGTACAGTGTTACAGGATAGGTTTCCAGACCCTGACACACCACACAAATATACCCATTAAGCTCTTAAAAATTCTTACAATTTAAGGTAATTTTTCTATGTGCCATATAAGCTATAGCCATGAGTGTTGTCCTTTCAAGAAAAAAATAAGGGATAGCTGGAGGCAAAAATCATGTCTTAAAACCTCTATGTACTGTATGCAAGAAGTAAAAGAATTACAGTAGTAGCTAACTGTAGGTGTTTTGGATGAAGCTGTGAATCTATGTGGAGTATTTTTGTAGATGTTCCTCATGATCATCATCCCCATGTTGTTGTTGATAATGCCGGTACAATTTGGACACCCAGGCTCCTCCCATCCCTTCTGCTGCTGGAAAGTGTCCGTTGGACATATTGAGTATAATGGAGGTCAAGGATTTAATGTAATTTTTGGCCAGTGTGAGAGTCTCTATTTTGGAAAGTTTATTCTCAGCTCTCACATGAGGGATCACCTCCCGCAAAGCCTGGAACGCATTGTTGAGCTTGTGCATTCTCTGCCTCTCCCGCTCATTGCTTTCCAGTCTCCTCAAATTTCTGTCCTTATTGCTCCAAGGATGCTTGGCTCTGGCTGTAGTGATCTTGCTGCTTTCCTTCTTTCCCCCATTCCTCCTTTCTTTGTGTTGCAAACATTTCACCAGTTCTTTTTTTCTCATTGCTGACTCCTCAGAAAATGCTTCTTTGTCAACAGTATGCCTTTGCTTCTTTCCTTTGGTTTTGGTCTTCATGTTTTGGTAGATGTACTGGTATTAAGCATCAATGTGCTGTAAAAACATGACACCAATATCTTTTAACTTTTGCACAGTTCCATGCTGAACAAATGATCTGATGCAGGTTTGTTTGATATGTTCGTTTACTTGTTCACTACTGGAAAACCATCATTGGCTCTCTTAATTTAGTGATGTCATTTTAGAAGTTGTGAATGTTATTAGTCAAGATGACCTGTGCAGAAGAACAGAGGAGAAAATCTGTTTTTAGAGAACAACAGATCCTCCTTCAGCTGGAAGGAAGAGGTTACAGAAGGAGCAGAGGCCAAGTGAATGGAACCACTGAAACAGATACAGTGAATCACCTACTGGTGTCCTCACGTACGGGAAGCCAAGTGAAAAACAGACACCTCTCTACTTTTGTAAGTAGGCCTCAAACTGGAGAGATTTCTCCTCTCTCACTGCACGTAAGAAAATTGTCTCCAAGCCAATCCAGTCTTCCTGTGGGAAGAGTAACCACAACTCAAAAAATAATCAGGAGTACAATGGTCAGTCAGGTTTGATAACATGTTGCCTCTGTTTTTTGATCTCGCATACTTCTGTTTTCTCCCAGCTCTAGTTACCACAAGCTGTAATAAAACCATACACTGCTTCATTGTATGTATGCAGGCTTACATGCGGGGTGTTAGACAGAACCCTCAGGCTCTTACTTGGAAAGTAATTTCTCCTTGAACTCCTGGTAATTGCTTTTTGTAGGAATAGATTTCCACTGTATTTATGAGCAGTCCACTAGAGGGAAACATGACATGCTAATTCATATAGGGGCTCAGAAACTCCTAGCCAGCAACATGTTTTCACCCACAGCATCTCTGCATTCTGGGCTAGTCCCCACCACACACACACAAAAAAGCACTTCCCTCTTCCAACAATCATCAAATAAAGGTGGGGCTTAATTGCAGTTTCTGCCCCAGTTCAACAGCAGCAGAGCAGTATTTATTCTCCAGGTTGTCCAAAAAGACACAGCAATGTTCCTTCCTCACATGTTAGCAAGGCAGATGACAGCACTGAAGTTTTACCCTCCCTCAGCCCAGATTCTGTGCCAACACTACATCTGAAGACAGCAGCCTCACAGCAACCCTGCCTCTAACACCAATGATCAATGTTACTGAGACTCTATCTCCAAAATGCTTCCTTCCACTTTCTTCCAGTTCATGTAGTCACAGAAAGGTTAGGTCTTAAAAAAATATATTTTTATGCTGATGCTATTATGTAGGAGCAGTTAGACAGTTGGTGAGCCAATAAAAAAAACCCACTAGCCACAGGTGCTTGACTGTCCCAGTATAGGACACCAACCTTCACTGGAGCAGGTGGTGAGCAGTTCCCGGGTGTGCTGCAGTAAATATCACTTCCCCTCTCAGTTTTTTTTAGAGACATCTTCAGCTGCTCAGCATTCACAGTGACTCAGTTCTCTGCCTATGAGGGCATCCTGGCCATCCCCAGGTTCCTTCCTACCAGGGAGGCAACTTTGCCAGAAAGGACAGGAATTCACAAAGTGGTTTGGTTAGGGTAGCACCCAGGTGACAAATGCTGAGAGAAAGACAGCACTGAACAGCTTGTGTTATGGGAGCCTAGGAGAAATTCTGGAGACACACGGGTATCTTAAGCAAGAAAATAGGACTAAAGCCAAGCACTGGGTTTATTCTGGACTCTTAGTCTAACTCATTTGGCAGAAAAGGCATAACTGCAGAACAGAAGAGTAAAGGCAGGCACAAAGACCACCAGTCAACTTCCCCCCTCCAGCGCAAAAAGCACTGTTGGGGAGAGCAGAGAAATGAGCAGCTGCTGTTTGAAAGGAAAACAGCCTGCAGGACTTGGTGAAGAGGAGGTTCGTGGAGGCAGCCAGCAGAGAAAGCTGGAAGAAAATCCAAGAGAAAGGAAGCTTCAGCAAACTGTGGGAGCAAAGTAGTCTTTAAAACTGCAGGCTGGGGGAAAGCAAGTGGGATGACGTGGGATAAGAGGGTGCTTAGCTGGCTGAGGTTTGCTTTCAGACTGCTGCACACTGCTGTAACCCTGAGAAACTACCTCATGGAGCCACAGCCAGGCTGCCAGGACCCCCAGGGAGACAGCATGAGTGTGTGCAAGGAGGAAATGGAGATGGAGAGGGGATCAGGAGCAACAGACTGGGGTCATCAAGAGAAACCAAAGAGAGCAAGCAGCCAAATACCAGCGAATTTTCCACCCTCTGCACCTGTCTGTCAGGGCTGGTGTCCCTCCTCTGTGACTTACCACTGCCACCAGCTGTGGAGAAGGTGCCTAGAGCCCAAGAGGTGACATAGCGGAGACCTGTGGGAAGCCAGGAGCAGCAGGAGGGTCTGTGGGTGCAGCAGGGGCCCTGCCTGTCCTCTGGGCTGGGCCAGGGTCTGTCAGCAGGAGCCCATGAGGGAACCAGGACCTGCCTCACGCCGAGGTGAGCCCCAGGAACGAGGTGGGGAAGCACTGACAGGAGGACCCCAGGCTGGCGCTGCTGCCACG